TGGTTATAAGCCTACCGTTCTTTTCCAAAATTCGTGCAGTGACGTAGGTCTCCTTTCTATTTCGATGTCAATTGCTATGACTTTTCAACTCATCTCCATTTCGTCCCCGTTGAATTATAATTAGATGTATCGTTCTAAGATGTGATTCTTTTCATTTTTCCACGGTGAAGTCTTTTTCAAGTACTTATTAAAACCCGCGTGTACACTTCTCTCATAAACAATGTGAATGTCCTGAAAAGTTAGAACGATGACAAATATTTGGGTTAATTGCAGTATAGGTCTCTACCTTTTTACTTTATCTTAGTTTGTCCCATTAAACTAGTGTGCGACGTAACATTCCCAACCTTCGGTAATTTTCTTCATTTTTAATCACAGATGCCTTTTCACATATTTATCAATACCGTTTAAACCATTTTTTTTTAACGATCAATGCCAATATCCCAAAAATTTAGAAAGAAAAAAAATAAATTAAATATAGTGTTAATTACACTATACGTCTCCAACCTTTCCACTTTATCTCAATTTCATTCCCATACATATCAATCCCAATTTTTTTATTTTTTTTATTCATTTCCCATGGGATATATTTTTCATATTTATTAGAACGCATTTAGCCCTTGTTTGTCTATCATTATTTCAAAAAATTGTTTATTACAGTAAGATTTTTCATCACACATTCAACCAATAAAATATTCTACACAAAAACCAATAAAATTACTTTAAATTTCAACCACAATTTCTCCAAAAATACTATTCATTACTCTATTTTTCTCCTAATAATGGGAGACAAACACACCCTTAAACACTTCTTAAATCAAACAATGTCAATTTTTTCGAAAAGATGGAAACAACCATAAATATTTGGATTAATCACACAACGGGTCTCTAACCTTTCCACTTCATGTCAATTTTATCCCCTTCAAATTTTATCATCCTGAACTTCGATAATTTTATTCCCTTTTCAATGTCGTATCATTTCCAACCTTTGATAATTTTATTCATTTTTCATTGAGTTTGTCTTTTTCACGTATTTATTAAAACACATTTAAACCGTACTCTAATAAACAATATGTAGTGGTAGAAATTATTCCACTGCCCAAAAATATATAACAAGCCCCACGTATAGGCACATTAGGTGAGATGCCACTTTTAGGCCCAACTCAGAAATGTCAAATAACACCAACCAACGGTCCATGACTGACAAGTCAACCAAAAACCATCGAGACCCTATCTTCAAATGGTCAAATTATACCACACTAGACTTAACTAAGGCTAGATATGAATATATTTGTCTCCGAATGGTCAAATAATCCCAATAGAGTATATCGAGTCAAATCGTATCTCCAACCAAATGAAAATCTTGGAGGATTATTTGATATACAACTTTAATGAAAGATTAATGATCAATTTGCCCTTTTTAAAAGTTGAGGAGAAATTTTTTATTCACACAATAGGACAGGGACGATGTACAATTGTTTTTCCCAAAAAGAACCAACCATTTACTAATTGGAAAAGTCGCTTAACATGCATGTTAGTTTAAGCATAAAATATGCTGTCAAAAAAGGACAAATAAAAAAATAAAAAAATAAATCTACTATTTTTGTTGAGGCAATAAAGTGGTTGTTTTGTAAGGAAAAAGGGTTTCCTTAAAATATGTGTTGATTTGTGTAATATGTTGGGGTATTTATAATGTTACAAGTCGAATAATGACTCTTGGATTAATTTACACGTGGCCTCATCTTCTCGGTCAAGACATCAAGTCCTAACCATCAAGTTATCCCTATAACCCTGCACAGCATTAAATGTTCTTACATTGACAAGACAAGACATAGAGTTTACTTTATACAAAAGTCATGTCAATCATTCACACGGATCTTTCA